TTATATTAGAATGACCGTCAACCGGTAATTTGTATATTTATAGTTATAGTATATTTGGGTAGTAGAATGAAGAGTTCGGAGAAGGACTTCGAAGTGAGGAAAGCTAAGGCATGGGGAGCGTGTCACCAGATGAAGCTTGTATGGAAGTCGGATATGCGTAGAGATCTCAAGATATGACTGTTCCTGGCTACAGTCGAGTCCATCCTTCTATATGGCTCTGAAACATGGACTGTCAGCCAGACCCTCGCTAAACGTATTGATGGATGTTATACGAGAATGCTGAGGATGGCACTGAACATTGACTGGAAAGAGCTGCAGACTAACGCCAAGGTGTATGGACACCTCATCAGAGCATCTGATAAGATAGCTGCACGGAGGATGAGACTCGCAGGTCATTTAGCCAGACATGAAGAACTTTTGAGTCATCAACTTCTCTTCTGGGAACCCCTTCAAGGACATCGTCGAAGGGGAAGACCACATCTCACATACATTGACATCCTTCGGAAGGACACGGGGCTTGACGACAGCAAAGAGATTAACAAACTCATGCTGGATAGACAGATTTGGAAGAAGACTATTTCTGTTCGGACGCTGAAGCCGCCCTAAGTCGAGTCGAGTCGTAGTTATAGATATAAATGTAATTTATAATTGAATAATGGGTCTTGGTTGCGCTTAACAATTGCGTCGCGCGGTTAGCTAAAACTATTATTGAGAGAGACCTGCAAACACTGTACCTGGAGGTGATCACGGGTCTTGTCCTCTTTCTCACACTCCTGTGACGGTGGCGAGTGCTGAACGGTCCTTCTCCAAACTGAAGCTCATCAAGACTTATGTGAGGTCAACGATGAGCCAGGACCGCCTTCAGCACTTTGCCATGCTGTCTATCGAGCACAGGGAGGCTGAAAAGTTGGATAAGTCCGTGATCATCAAGAAATTTGCTTCCGCGAAATTTCGACGGAGCAAGCGATTTGGTTTATAATTTGATAAAGATTTATTGTTTATGTTATGTTTGTATATGGACACGTTCATTTGAGTTTGAGGATATTGGTAAACAAAAATAACAGCGTTTTCGACGATAGTGGCTTAATTTTGACATCTATTAACCTAGCATGTTCAGAAGTTCTGAACATTAGCCACGTAACCCATACTCCCATACGCACCGCTCAGAAAGAAAATCTATTTTTGTTAGGCACTATAATGTTTCAAATGTCACATTTTGTGTGACTTAGTGAATTGCAGTTGTCTAATTATCATTCTTTGGTCTGAAATATAGTAAATTAGGTCAATCTTACAATTATGATACAACATTGGTTAATGGGCACGGATCGAACGGTTACAAGGCAATATTTCGGTAACTTTGTCACACTCATGATACCATACCTCTATTCTACTGTGAGGTGTCCTAAAAACCCTTTCAACTCATTATTTTATGGTTGCTCTACCAATCATAGCCCTAAAATACATCGTTTTGAATAGTTAGCTAATACAGGCACTTGGTTATTGGGAAATGAGGTTAATTCTGTCACAATATATGAAATTTTAAATTTTGGGCGAATTATTTATATTTGATTTTGGTTTGAAAGGCGGGAAAACTTTATATAATGACAATGTAGTTGATGCAAGTTAAGATCAGTTGATGTTTACATTGTCACAAAAAATTATACGAAATCGTAAATAGGTTAAAAACAATGATTATAGAATGAAATAGTCTCTTATAATAACTCTTATAATAACTGATGTGACAAAGTGAACATGTCTTGCCCCTATTTTGAAGATCTATATTCTATACCTCTATTAGAATTCAACATTCTTAAGTTTAACAATTTTAGGTTAAATTTGTCAAAGTCACTAAAAATGTGACAAAATTAACTTTCCCTGCCCCAACAATATCAAGATAGTGTGTTAAAATTGGCATACTAGGATGCTTTATTGCCTATATAAATCAATCCAAACTACAAAATATATGTTAATGTGATGACGATTACCTAACTCTTATAATAACTGATGTGACAAAGTAAATGTATGTAGATTGCCCCTATTTTGAAGATCTATAACTCTATTAGAATTCAACATTCTTTCAGAAACGATTGGAAGAATATTGTCCAGAACATCAGAGCTCAATTTTAACAATTTTAGATTAATTTGTCAATTACACTGAAAATGTGACAAAATTAACTTTCCCTGCCCCAACAATATCAAGATAGTGCACGTTAAAATTGGCATAGGGTGCTTTATTACAGGTATATTAATCGATCCAAACTACGATAAATATCTTTTAATCTGATGACGATTACCTAACTCTTATAATAACTGATGTGACAAAGTAAACATGTCTTGCCCCTATTTTGAAGAACTATACCTCTATTAGAATACTATGAAACTTAATCATCAACAATTTTTCGATAAGTTATTTTGCCAGCAAGGAGCTAACAGAGTTATAATAATTTTTTTGTGACGAAATTATCCTATTTTTGACCATGTTGTGGAAGTTTAATTGTGACACTGTTAACATATTACCACCTGATAATGATTCGTGTGACTGGTGCATGGTACTAGCAGTGTTGTTTGATCAATAGTACGTAATATAAGGAGTTCAAGCTGGTATATCATTATTTGTTCAATTTCACACATGTTCAGATATCATCAAGATTATGTGACAAAGTAAACTTGGTTGTGCCTTCTGTGTTTTAATTCCTTACGACTATATGATATAATAACAATTCCCAGCACTTTCAGGCCATCAAATAAACCTACACTACTCAGCATTGCTTATCAGGGTGCCCTAAACATTCATCACATATTTTCTTTAATGTGTGACAGAGTAAACCTGAGTGCACCATCTAACGAAAAAAATTGTCAAATATGTAGGTAATGGTCATATGTACCCATCCAATCAACTGGACACTCACAAATTTGGTCAAAAACGGCAGCAAGGGGTCCATATTTACTCCGTCACATGTTTATAGTGTGACAATGTAACCATTTCCGTGCCGGCCGTATTTAAGCGATATCTTATCACCTGATTAAGATATCGTTAAGTGACAAAGTTAGCCTAGAGGATGAGACGATTATCCTAACCATCAAGGGTTTGTGTAATTTCATAGTGTGACAAATTCAACTACACTGTGCCATTTAATAGGGTCACTTATATTTACCAATATCCTCAAACTCAAATGAACGTGTCCATATAGTAATATATCAATGTTATTCTATTTTGTATTTACACGGTATTTACAAAGTTTTTCAGTTTCATAATCACTTAACGTATATCATTTGTGAAATTCCAAATCAAATTACCCCAAAGGCCATATAAAACTAGAATTGTTCATGGTTGACCGGTTGATCTTGAAATTGTAATCGTGACAAAGTAAATTAGGCAAATAAGAGAATTTTGAGGTTGTCTATTTATGGTAAATGTTAAAGTGTTAACACTTAAATGCCAGATTAGAAAACTATTTTGAATCGAAAAACCTCAGAAACCTGGACACTGACAAAGGCTCAAGAGAAAAGTTTGGACGGGACATACACAAAGATGTTGCGTATGGTGCTGGGTATCTCATGGAAGGACAAGGTCAGCAATATAAAAAATTTTAAAAAAAGTTTCGAAGCAGCAGATTAAAAATGGCGGGACATTGCATCTGACATCCTGAGCTACTTGCCAGTGATTTAGTCTTATGGGAACCTACGCACGGTAGAGCACAGCAATGCCGACCAAGACAAAGCTTCTTGTCTATGTTACTGAAGGAAGTTAGGACAAAATCTAAAGAGGAACTGCAAACCCTGATGCGGGACAGGGATATATGGAGGGGGTTATCTGGCGTAGATCAGACTTAGTTCCGACATAGTAGTAGTAGTAGTAGTTTAGAGAAAGATTAGATAGCAGCATTGTGTTTCACTATCTGTTATTTAGAACTTGAGTATATTATATACATACATACAATTATTCAAAAGCGTATTGAATTCTGTACAGTACTGGGACCTGTAAAATTTTAACCCACTTTTTAGTTAAAATTTAGATTTTCGATACAATTTTCCAGATATCTCATTTGGACTTAGGGAAAGATTCAGCCTTTGATTTTATTTTGAAAATTTATTTCTAGATTATAGAAGTTTATGATTCATGGGCAAACTTTGAATATGAGTGTGATCAGCAGTTATTACTGCAGCAGGTCATTTTTTGTTAAGATAACTCTAGTGTAAGGTTTTACAAACCCCCTGGCCCTCCCCTCAGCTGAATGCTCTACATGATTACAGGTTTATAAGAGGCCCAGCTAATTTTACCAATGTACCCCATTTCATGACAAGTTAGAAGTACTATTGTTCTCAATTCTCATCTATCAGTTCAAATTCTGAAAGCTATAACAGGGGCAATTCACAAAAAAATTTCTGTGTAAGTTGATATTTTAGGTATCAGCTTTCGCATTAACTGTTTAAACTTATAAATGTTTAAACTTAAACATTTCTTGCTTAGAGTAAATTTGATTTACAAAGTTGCAGTTACTAAATTCTATTTAGGCTGTTTTTTGATCATTTGGTATTACACCACATTTGGTGATATATGCACATTGCCCAACACCCATACGATCTTCTATAAGAACTAGCAGCAACATACAGTGCAGCAATCTTCCTATTATGTTTAATTTTTATGAAGTTTACACTATTAAAAAGATGAGCTGAGCACTGTCTTCGAACTGAGCAAGTGACAATCATCAATTCACCATATATGCATACTTATACTCCATATCATTCAATACGCTATGCATTTCTGTATATGTTCGCCTTTCTCGAGAAACTTCCAGTAAAGAAGTAACGTCAACAAAGTGTAGCCTGCATAGTACAGGAAACTCATATATATAACTATCTTGCTTTAGGACTCAAAAATCGGATTCCCTTCAAATTTGTCCGTGAAGTGATACATTGTGACTCAGAATTCTGCAGCTCAATCAACAGTGGTTATAATCAGTTCACATAATCCTAGATAAATGAATTTTCTTAATCAAAAATAATATGTAGGTAGCGTTGTAAGACTTAAATCTCAAACTAACTGAATTTCTAGCGTTGTAATGAAAAGTTAGAACAATGTCTGGTCGCAGTGAAAACGGAGGTGACAATCCTGAGGATCGTCCTCATGAGTTTCTTGTGAGAGATCCCTCGGTAACCGGCAGGTTTGTCTCTATGTTTCTTAAGCTTGTATAATACAATATTCAGTATTCACTTACTTTAACCACTTATCTATAAGTATTGTTTTGCCTATCTGATGTACTACAATGAATTTTTTTTTCGTTTTTTAACACGACCTTTGTTTTCAGGAGTTCATTCCGTAAGAGGGGTGGTATTTTAAACCCAATCGTTAAAATCGGAGAGAACAACCTCGCCGACATAGAGGAACCAGATGTAGCCAGCATTGTGGACAACCTACGACGCCGCTACCTCAACAATGCTTTCTACACCTACATCGGAGATGTCCTGGTCTACATGCCCCCCTTCTCTGGTATTTCCATGTACACCAACGAAGATGTCCAGTATTACTGTGAAAACAACGCTTTTGATCCCGACTTGAAGCCTCATATTTACTCTTTTGCTGATCGGGTGTATTCTAACATGTTGTTTTGGAAGAGGAACCAAGTAGTGATAATGTCTGGATCCAGTGGTAGTGGCAAGACTATCAATACTAAACAGTTCCTAAGGTAGGTAGCTGCTTATGAAGATGTTAATTCAGTTTTAAAATACTTAAATCATAGGAATCATATCTTAAGTACCTATTAATAAACATAGCTTTCTGCTTTGAGCACGTCCCTTATATTAATTCATTAAATATTAATTAATTCCACTTCAGTTACATACAATCAGTATCAGGAGGATGGGATCTCTCAGTGACTCTAAAAACAAGACTGGCTCATCTGTTTAACGTCCTCGACTGTACGTTACTCTCAACTTTAAACTTGCTTTAAATAATAATCTCCAGAATTCTATAAATATATGACGGAATTTATAGGAAGGCTGTACTAATTATAGTAAAATGTATAAATATTCTAAATCTCCATATCCCAGGTTTCGGATCAGCGCAGACTTCAGATAGTATATACGCTAGTAAATACGTGAGTTATTATTTGTAAATTATATTATCCGGATGTGGTGTGTGTAAACTTAATCGTCATAGTTCTAAATAAACGTACAGTGTAAACTTTCTGGTATTATTTTCTCATGGGGAGATAATTATTCAACACTAAAGAACTTTGAAGTGTTACAGTTACACAGACCATTTACTACTCTCATGTTACAGCTCACGCTTTTTAAAGGACCAGTTAACTGAAAAATTTGTAGTCTCCAATTTGGCTAAGATTTAAATCAGCTGTGACAAACTCGTAAAAAATTGTATCGCCGAAAGAACCAACTCTCTAGCTTACGTGTAACGCGTGTTATTGCAATAATAAGCTGTGGCCGCGTGACGTCATAAAGTCCCTCAGTGCGCGCTGGCATAGCGTAATACAATGCACAAATGTTTATCATCGTCAATAAAACACGTGTAACTCACTCAAATTTTAGAGTTATGACTATTTCCCTAGTTCTCCAAAATCCTTATAGTTTTGGCTATCACCCTAACTATATGAATAGCTGATTGGATGTACAGTGCTCACGTCAGGATTTTAAACAGTGACATAAGTTCTTGAACAGTGGCGGGTGAATGTACGGTTAGAAAGTTTCTGCTATTACAAGTTATGTCATATGTGATAATTTTGGATTGTTTTCATTGCTTCATTAAAACGAAGGGAGACTGTACCGATTATTTTTCCCCAGTCCATGAAACTAATACACAAAATAATGTGCTATATATTAAATATAGCTGATCAGAGTGTAACTCTGTAATATAATATTACAGTTGTTCGGAAGAATGCGAGCAGTCAAATGGTTCGCTATCCTAAAAGACATAGTTCCGAGAGCAATTATATTTCTAGCATAGCGAAATTTCTTACTTTAATCCACACGTGCCAGACAGTACAGGAGACATGAAGTCTGGCTATTTTACGGCCGTTCCCATCGGACCATCAGTAGAAGTAGCTCCTATCAGAACGGTGCCGTGGGAACTGAAAAATACCCGGTATACGTAATACTGATTGGAGTGTACGGTGAGCGGTGTGTTTTGAATTTGACTTACCTAGTTATCGTCCTACTTGTATGATCATCGGTAGGTACATAACATAAATAAACTACTGGTAAAATTAAATACCAAGTGCAAACGTGTTCAGTCAATCGACCCACTGAACAAATATAGAATTTCCAAGACCCTATTATTCTTTGGCCATATATATTGCGGCACGATCGATTCTTAGATGGCTAAACGACATACGTTAATCTATACAATTCTTAAACTATGAGATAGCACTTTAATCTAGAAATACACTTATTATATTACTCCTGATTTTTACATTTCAATTTTCATGTAAAACATTGTAGCCATAGGTTGATCATGGACACTGACAGCTTAATTTTAGATAATAATGATTTATGAGTTTCTCTAAAGTTAACTCTAAACTAGTGTAGTCCAGTCATTTAAGGACATTTATGGAATTGAACCTGCAAATTTTCGTATACTCACGAAATTTTGCAAAGACCTTCTCAAAAGTATGAATAAACGATTTTCGGTTGGAGACATATTGACCACGCCGATATTGACCCAATAACGTAACCGACCCTTTGCTTCTGAAGGCCGTAGACTTCTAAATAGGCTTAAACGAAGCGGCATATGCATGTTTATATAGGAGTTACTGAGCAACACATGGCCTAAAATCCTTACTCTTCGAGAAATTTGCCAAAAACCATTTTGGGCGTGGTGCTGAGCCCATTTTCGATAGGATCGTGATAGAGTCTTTAGACAGGGTGCAAAAGAACCGCAATTAGCATATTTATATATGACTTACGAAGAAACAGATGCCTTAAAGTGCTTACTTTTTCAGTTATTGGCGAAAAACTGATTTCCGGTTCCAGAAATCATGCAAAAGTATGGGTATCTTGTAAATTGGGCTATGAAGGCCCAACAGATTTTTGAATGATTGCAAATTGTGCAGAATGGCCATGTTTATATACAACTTATGAAGCAACATGTACCCTAAAACACTTATTTTTCGAGTTATTTAGGGGAGAAATATTGTATTATGTCCATTTTTACCTGTAAAATACAGTCTCACGAGCTCTTCTGTGCGCGCAAGGGACTTTATGACGTCATCGCCAAAATAATACAAACGCTAATTACACGCGTTAGAGAGCAGTTAGAGATTTAGGAATTTCGATTCGTTGCTCAGTTTGCTATTTGTCACAATCTGTCAAAATATGAGGATAACTTTTTTTTGAGTTAACTGGTCCTTTAAATATATTATCACAAACATACTGTATACAATAAACGTACGTTTTCAGCTTGAAATTCTTGATACATGTTCAGTGTTCACAACACTGTCAAGCAAATACAATTATCTAATTGTTGTTAAATTATATTATATCATGAATCCTGGCACATTCTCATTATCATTAGATTTAATATCTACACGTTACGTCATGAGGAGTGCCGAGTGCATACTTGACTTGGAATGTACAATCTAAGGGGGGGGGGTTGCACCCCCACGGCGGGGTGGGGGGGGGGACCGGCGCGGGGGGTTGCACCCCCACGGCCCACTCTAACAAACTCCCGCAGAACCCATTCCCCCATATTATCTTAACTCTGATATATATCATATACAAATCTGCAAACTCCAAATATGGACTCCACTTAATTTCAACAATTCTGAAAGAGACAAACCATCCAACTATTTCCATATAAACAGTGATTTTAACCACTGCTTCTTTCAGACGAGTCAGCTCCAACTCAAGTTCAACTATTTCGGTGATATCGTTTCTTGCCAACTCAAAACTTGTTAGTTCCTATTTCTCATAACATCTTTGATAAATCTTCACGAAAAAAAAAATTGTTCGTGAAGATACTTTTTCAGTAATTTCATGGAAGTAACCATTAATTTGACAGAAGTAAACTTACAACCCTCCAGGTCTACTAGAAAAGAGTAGAGTGTGCGGGCCTCCCCCAGGAGAAAGCAACTTCCACATATTTCACTTGCTAATGGAACACATTGGGAGTGACGGTGCAGCGTACCCCTACCTCAGCAACACTAATCACACCTTCGCTCTCAAAGTCACTCTACCTTCAATCCAGGTTTAACATCAATTACCAATCAATTAACAATCAATTACCCCAGCTAAACACCTTACCATCTTGTAATTAGTCCACTTAAAACTTGACAGTTAAAACAAGCTCATAATAGGTTTCACGTGTAAGCTAGCCCTAGCGTATAGTAAGCTAGCCCTATAATACTATGTACATAATATTATCCAGGGTGCATATAATTGTCCTGAAGTCTAATTGTACAATATACCCCCTGTGGATTGTGGAATGTGTGTGTTGTGGTGTGGAATGTGTGTGGTGTGGGACGTTACACACACACAGACAATAGAGCTGTAACTTGGAACTAAGCCAACTTGTATATTTGATTAGAGTCGCAGCTGTCGTGTGTTGCTCTACAAATATGTGATATTATAGTAATAATGTGGTGGTCACTGGTCGGTAAATAGTTTGAATCGTTCACCGTTATTCTTTCACTGCAAGGTGTGGTTAAGAAATGCTGCCTTTTTCTAAAAACTGTCAGTGTAACTCACAGTTTTTAATTTGTGAGATGCCCGTGAACAAAACAGGTGCAGTACAAATCATTGTTCTCAAATTACAAACATCATTAATTCTTTCCGTTCGCGTTGTTAAGACTTAATTACGAATTATATTTTCGTCTATTTAACCGAGGGAAATTCGCTACTCCAGGATTGGAATGTAGCTATTCCAGGAATGGTGACATGAAAGAGAGCTTTTATATTAGAAGGGCACAATATGTATTTACTCGTTTACTAACCAAGGGATCGTTTCCATATTGGCTGTGATATAAGAGAGTGGGGTTGGAGATGATATTATATTCTACACATTCTAATATTCTACACGTTCTACAAGTTCTACACAATAGCTAGATGGAAGACTGATAACGGAGTCGAGGGGGAAGTGGGGTTCGGAAATGGTCAAAAACTGGGTTACGTTATTTCTAAAGGATCCTCAGCTATGTCTTCAATACTCCATCAACTTATATAAGACTTGCAATATTAAACACTACAGGACAGTTTAGTAGCTCTAGGAATGCCGGAGGGAGAGAAGGAACACGTGATCAACATTCTGACTGCAATACTGATACTGGGACAGATCCAGTACAAGACGGAGAATGATGGGATTGGGGTCAGGGTTACCAACCCTGGTGTTGTTAAAGTAAGTATAATACAGCTATACAGCAATTGTAGTTAGTACATATTACCTGGAGGGACTGGGATAAGATATGTACATTTTTAATATCCGGACTAGTTGTAACATAATTTTAATGGACTACCTAGTAACCAATCACCACACAATAATTAATCATGTGACCTGACAGGTGATAGCCAAGTTGCTGGGAGTAACCAACTCGTCCATGACGGATATGTTAACCAGCACACCTCATATCAGCGGAAACAGGAGTATCATGATGAACCCTCTATCTTACGACAAGGTCTGGTTTTATACTTCTAGAACTTTCTAGAACTTTCTTTATTTGACAGAGTATAACTCTAATGTTCCGCTCTGTTTTAGTGAACATTATGTTGTATACAATAATGTATAATATTATTGTTGTTTGATATCATATTATTTAGCTGCTTCCGTTAAAGATAGAAAGTGCTACTTATCACTATCAGTTATCTTCTCTGACAAGGAATCACTTTCATTGTAATATCTCTGATTTACGTGTACCGTGGCCGTGTTATGTAGGTGTCCTAATATTTCACATTGCGTCGTTGCGACTGAGTCAAGGATTGAGTCAAGTAATAACTTAATAAGTTTAAGTTCACTGCAGTGCAATGTATCGTGTTGATTCAATCATGGATCACGGAAACTTTGGTGTGACTGATCAAATATTCACTATTCATATCTTTTAATAAGAATATCCGACATTTGAGCAACTAGTTACCAGCGGTTGGGACCGTTACAAACGCTTTAAGGGGGGGGGCCAATGGATATTTTTTTGTGAAACTTGATTTCGAGATAGTAGTTGACCAACAAACTAAGACCAGTGACCGAACTTTTGAGGGGGTCCCGGACCCCAACCGCCAAACGGTGCGCGCAGGGAAGCCACGCCTATATTTGGTCCAAATTAGGCCCAATTTAGCCAAATACCCTGAACATGCCCAAAACCAAGGTTTATGGTGCTCTACATGTAGCTAGTGGTCTCCTGAACTCGTATATGAAATTTCATCAAGATTGGACAAAAAATGACTGAGTTATGAGCCAAAAACCATATGCCCATATTTGGGCATACGCACCAAATTTGGTAGATTTCGGCCCATAAATTGGTCAAATATCAATATTTTTGAATGAAACTTACTTTATATGAAAGGTAAGCCTAAACTACATATTATCTGTAAGTTATAGCTTTATATCTGTTTAAATGTGGATACTAAGGCGAAAAAGCCACAAAAAATGAACTAAATTGCCCATATCTCGGTTCGCGATATTTGCGGAATTGATCTCATTAAAATTGTAACAACTCAATCAGTTTTCAAAATTTTTGCATGAAATTTTCGGAATCGACTCGAAATTGCATTTCCACCTTATTTTAAATACGGATTTTTGATTTAGGCCTCCAAAAAAATTTGGCGGCCAAATTCCAAAATTATCTCACAAAAATTCAGAATTTGGCCGCCAAATTTTTTTGGAGGCCTAAATCAAAAATCCGTATTTAAAATAAGGTGGAAATGCGATTTCGAGTCGATTCCGAAAATTTCATGCAAAAATTTTGAAAACTAATTGAGTTGTTACAATTTTAATGAGATCAATTCCGCAAATATCGCGAACCGAGATATGGGCAATTTAGTTCATTTTTTGTGGTTTTTTCGCCTTAGTATCCACATTTAAACAGATATAAAGCTATAACTTACAGATAATATGTAGTTTAGACTTACCTTTCATATAAAGTAAGTTTCATTCAAAAACATTGACATTTGACTAATTTATGGGACGAAATCTACCAAATTTGGTGCGTATGCCCAAATATGGGCATATGGTTTTTGGCTCATAACTCAGTCATTTTTCGTCCAATCTTGATGAAATTTCATATACGAGTTCAGGAGACCACTAGCTACAAGTAGAGCACCATAAACCTTGGTTTTGGGCATGTTCAGGGTATTTGGCTAAATTGGGCCTAATTTGGACCAATTATGGGCGTGGCTGCCATGCGCGCTCCGTTTGGCGGTTGGGGTCCGGGACCCCATCAAAAGTTCGGTCACTGGTCTTAGTTTGTTGGTCAATTGCTATCTCGAAATCAAGTTTCACAAAAAAATACCCATTGGCCCCCCCCCTTAAAACTTGAGAACACCTGTTAGCTGTTCCAGTACATTCTACAACACAGTTATAGAAAAGAGATACCGGATTGTAGCTTTAATTCTTTGATACAGCGCAAATGGCTCATTCAAATCGAAAAAATATCATTATACATGAAAATAACTGAAACTAAAATTCATCTTAAACAATAGGACATATCCTCACAAACTACTCCTACTGATCAGGCGATCTCAAAACGGAACTCACTGGCCAGTTACCTGTACCTGCGGCTCTTTAACGAGGTATTGATGAGTGCTAACAAGAGTTTGGCAGGGGAGGCTCCCGAGAAGCCTGATGATCTTAATCTTACTCTCGACATTGTGGACGGTTACGGCATCAAGTTAGTTTAATTCACCTACAGTAACCTCACATCTTTTGATGATTTTTTTCTTCGAAACAACAAAGTTTTCTCCCTTCTCTTATGTACTAAAGCCCCTAGACTCTCCGGAATTACTACTAGGTGCACTTACCCATTCAACAAATAACCCAATACCTATTTCCTCTGCAACATTAACCCACCCACCCCCCAGAGGTGGTGATCTGAACAATTTCGCGGTGCTGTGCTGCAACTTCAGCAATGAGAAACTGCACCAGTGCTTTATCGAGAGCGCCCTGACAGCGCCCCAGGAACTGTATTTGCAGGAGGGACTAGACTGGGATCCTATCAGGATACCTGATAACCGGGGAACTATTGGTCTCTTCACTGATGTCCAACCTGCCAGTCTTATGGAGGTAAAGCGGGCTTTTACTTCTAGATTTGTAGTTTTTTTAAATCACATTGAAAGGTATGTAATTATGGTGATCGTTTTCACTGGTTGCCAACGATGTTGATACAATATAAACAATGTGGCTGACCAAGAAGAACAACCACCGTTCTTTTATCACGGTGAAGGTGGGTTATAACTTAGGTAGAGTACCGGTATATTTCCTAGTACACTCCTTTATTGTCTACTGTAATAGAGACGTTGTGTAAACACACTTCTAAGTTAGTTATATAAACAGTTACTTCACCTACACTTCACAGTTCACATTGCATCACGTGGTAGTCACTACAAACACATCCTCATCTAGAAACTTACACTGAGTTAACAATTAACATATAATTAAGATCCAATTAACATATAATCAAGATCCAATTAACCCTCAACAATCAACATGACCCCCTAAACCCTTGCAGTGTATTGAGAACGAGTGTAACAAGCCAGGAGACACAACTAACTTCCAGGCGGATGAGGCGTTTGGTGGAATCTCCTCTCCTTACTTCATGTTGTCCCATGAAGTAGAAAATGAGTTTATTGTACGACACTACATAGGCGAGGTGGGTAGATGACATCTTGTTTTACTTCTAGTAATATTGTACATATTATATTGGTGGTATTCTTAAGTTAAATTGTTGGATTCTAGAAGGAATTTTAGGTAAGAGCAAGGCCAGCTTTTTCTCTGCACACACAATACATTATATAGGCCTCCCACACCCACACCTCTTGCCCCACCCCTTACTCCCCCACCCCGGCCCCCTCCTCCCCCCCCCCCCCCCCCCCCCTCGCCCCTATATACGACCAGATGCAGATGAAATTGATTTAAGTCAGTATCAACTGACGGCTGACAGTTATTTTATTGGAAGATTTTTGTGTCAATTTATTAGCAGAGAGGTCAGTATTGGCAAGGGAATATAGCGTTGACAGGTAATGATATTTTACTAGGAAATTTACTCTACAGTTGCAGTGTACATATTGTGGGAATTGTATGGGCTGAGAGTAGCTCACAGGTGTAAAATCTTGATTAAGTCGCTTTATAAAATACGTACCAATTAAAACACCCCACTTATCATCTCTTTCTTAATTCAGGTATCATACGATGCGACTAATTTCCACAAGATGGCTAAGACTGGACTACCCAAGGATTGTAAGAGAGTAATGAACAGCAGCAAGTTGGCACTTCTCCAAAGAATGTTCCCTGATGGTGCACAGTCCGAGTGGATGAAGGGTAAGTTGGGCTGTACTGGGGGGGGGGGAAGATGGGGTGGGGTGGGGTGAGGGTACTGGGCTTGGTTTGATGCTAGAAGACTCTGTAAGGTAGATTGGATGAAGGGTATATATTGATAAGAATTAACTATATGGATCGGATTGTGGTAACATGTAACATATAAATACCGGAATGTATTTGATGAGTACATTCCATTGTTTGTTATTGTAGGCCTTATTATAACGTCGTTATTCTTGGATCTAGTGTTGATTTTATCGCCAATTTGACGGCTTGAAACTGTGATACAAACTGGATATAAAAATAGATATTTCCGATCAACAGCGCGGTGCCAGATCATCTATTATAAACTAATTACAACTCTACAAATATATTGCATAGATTGGGGACGTTACAGAAGGAATGTTATGATATAGGCTAGTGTGACGTTCTGTAATGTGTAATGTTCTGTAAAGTGTAATATGTTATGTTCTGATTTGCGTGTAACTTAAACCCCCCCCCCCCCCCCCCCAGGTAAAAGTTCCATGTGTGTTTCACAAGTATACGTGGGTGCGATCGACAATCTGCTAAAAGACCTGAAGAATAAGTTCCTGTCCTTTGTGCGCTGTGTTAAACCTAATCTCTCCTCCACTCCACAACTCTTTGAAGATGACTTTGTTGAAGATCAAGGTAAGTGTAGTGATGTCACCTGCATGATCTAAACATGACCGTATATGGTTATTATGTTCGAATATGCTAACCGGTTAGCTGGCATTAGCCCCAAAACGTATGCCGTGTTGCTAATAATGGCTTTCAACTTACGTCCTTAGTCTTAACGACATTTCACACTTATTTGGATCTTAAGATTAAAGTGCAATGTTATATGGGAACACAGTGATCAGTTGGACACCTTATAACGATATTGTAACTCAGATTTGTTGTCGGACCATGGTTGTTAATTATAGGGTTATCTGGATTACTGGCCCTGGAATTTGTCGTGTTGCTACGTTGTAATACGAACCCGATTTGAACAATTTGATCATTTATCATGGCCCATGTGCATTGTTAACAAACAATGTGTACACGCTATCCAGAACCTTGGATCACGTTTCCAGCTAATAACATTCCACATTCCAGTAATTAAAATTTGAAGAAATTAGAACAACTTTACGGAACGCGCGGTAATTTTGAATCAATCGTATTAGCGCAAAAATACATCTTAAAGCAATATAATAATATAATTCAATATATTGCGCGCTGACCAGTCGGATCGATAGCGCGCAATCAATTCAAATCGAATGATATTAAGATTGATCGACGTCATCGAGGTATTGAAAAGTTTAGGCCTGCCCATGCCCCTCCCTAAGGCTTAATAAATTAACCGAAACTCTGATTCAGATTGACGTCATCATTCCCACCAATGAATATTGAATATTTATTATTTGGGCCCATCACAATGTGATAAACAGAAATGTAAGCTTTACAATTTTCAAGTGACGTCATTAGTGAAATGACGCTCCCTCTTCGAAAGGAAGGGCTTTATTTGTGAAATGAAAGTTCTAACAGAACAAACAGGACGGGAAAAATTCCAATACTAGACCACAATTTCAGTTCGGAGCTCATGCCTAGTGGAGACAGCGTTAATCAAGCAGCGAGGATTTGCATTCAGTTCGGATCTGGTCGGGTTTGTTCAGCGTTACAAATGTACACACGAAGAAGACAGGTTCAGAAGATGTGATGGAGATTGGCAAATGGCTGCTGATAGAATATGTGGTAAGTCTTACTGATATTTTCGCCAAATTCATCTGCATTTTCCAGACTTTCAATGGAATGGTGCTAACTTTTCTAAATTGTTGGTCGGCTATATCGTCAGTTATATTCCATGTTTAATTGAACTCAACGTAATTATCAATCCCACAGGCAATCTGCAGATCGACATGGATCTGTACTTCGTAGGCTTCACTTGTATCTTCATTAAAGACTCTGCTACAGTCCTCTACCTCGAGAAGAAACGTGACGAGTGTATCGACTTTATAGTTACTAAAATACAGCTGTGTTGGAAGCGCCGGTACATAAACAGAAAGCTAGGACCTCACTTGAGAGCCTTGAGGGAGACACTCGCTCAAGCGGATAAAACTAAGTGAGTAGTATTTTGTTAAATAAATACATACACGTTTATACACACATAAATACGTTTAGTTACATAAATACATACACTTTTGTTCGTTTATACTTTTAAATAAGTTTGATAAGTAGCGTTAACATATTACGTAAGCAGCCTAGAGAAGGATGTTTGGAAATGCTTACAGTTGCAGTAGGCATCGCCACTAAAAGTGATTACGGATAAGGAGTGTCTAAAATGGCCAAAATGTGGCTTACGTAATTAGTGAACGATCCTGTTAAGCCACTCGATTCCAAAAAAAGCTGACAAATATTTAGATAAAAACATAACTGAAATAACAAGATAAGCTCATTACAATCGGCAAATAAAATCCTACAACTCGTTTACAGCACTATAAATTAAAGCACAAATACAGCAAAATCAAATAATGTTATAACATACGTGTAAAGATTGTGCCGAACATATCAGAAGAAATACTGATTACACCCAACAATCGGGATCAAACAATTGGAACTAAAGAAGATCTTGTTGTCTTCCGTTTTCTTTAAAGAAGGCTGACAGTTATGTTCCCTCTCCTGAATCAGGCACTTCAACCGGACCCCCTCTCTCTCCACCTCCACACAGAACATATCCCTTCTCCGCTCACACTTCAAACCTGTTCCTACAACTAGTCCTACAGTTGGTCCACACTACTCTGTCCTGTCTCATGTTTAGTTCTATCCTACAACTTGACAACCAGGGGGGTCTTACCCTCGCTTTCTACCCTCCTACATTGATTACCTCCCCATCCTACACCGGCTAACCCAACACGCTCAGTAGCTGCAAGTAGATCTTCCGAGCATCTGTGGTTGTTGGGGATTGTAATGTTGAAGTCTGATTTGCAAAGTGAAGCCCATAATTCGGGTAGATGAGCTAAGTTCTGAGTTTGGTGCTGGTTTGGAGAGGTTGAGGAGAGTTGGTGGCTGAGCAGTTGTGGTAGGATTTGTAGTATTAGTTCGTCTGGTATGCCTTGTAAACAAGTGGGGTCTCGAGGGTTGTGGTGGTGTCTTGTTGTTTGATTACATGTCTCCCGCTTCCTATCATTCTGATTCTTAGTGATTTTGTTATTACGTTATTAGATTCAGTTAAAGCTCTGACATTGTGACATAAAGTTGAGGATTGAGTGAGTTTAAAATTACAATAGAGTATGTGTAATTGTGTATCCTACGGGCTGGTCACACGGCGTGATAACCCGTCAAAACTGGACAATGGACATAGGTGACATTATATCTCAATATCTGTTAGCCAGAAAACCAGTACAAACATTTTGAACAATGAAAAATTTAAACATTTCGAAAAAAAACAAAGTTTAGCATGGTGAAGAAGAGGCGCCCGAAAGAGAAGCTAAAACAATCCAAATATGCAAATACACGATGAGAGCAATAGGTCCAGGGAGAAGATCACACAATACACGCTAAACAATTGGAGTACAATATTATAACCTGTGATCATCATCTGGACAAAGCTTTACTACATGCAGTTTAATGGTAATGAAGGGAGTGTTACACTCATGTCAGAACACCCACCAATCAGGAGTCAGATGTTAAAGTCACGTGACTGAAATATACCAATTAGATGCCACGATTTTGGACCTTAAGTTCTTTGCTGTAAATCGAGTAATGACAAAGTCGTCGCAAGTGCTTGCAGAAAAGTAATCACCATTCAAGCATGCCTCAAAATGTTTAGCTAAAAGCTAATCAGCAACTTTAATGGCGGTTAAGCTTGCTTACCGTGCATCACTGTAACATTGCCATGTAGAATATACTATACAAATAAAATATTGTTATTTATTAGCTCGTGTATTTATAGTGGTTTAACCTATGAAAGTAAGATGGTAAATTACAAGATTCAAGAGTGATAAGCTTTTAACGACCTGCACTCGGGAAATAACTAACTTAGATGATTAACTAATTAACTAATTTAGATAGATGAATTGACGAGAAGGTAAATATTAGAGGGAAAGTATGAAATTGGTGAAAAGAGTAGGGTAAAACGCGCTCTAGGTAGAGTAAAACACACCAGAAACTACAAAACCCGCACTTAAAACCACACAAAATGTAGAAGTTGAGTAACCCAACCCTAATTACCCTTGAGGGGCCAGCAGGATGCAACCAAGTCAGATATACACGCAAATGTGTATCCGTACACCTTACATTGTGTCTCATTATTGGTATTTAATCGTATTAATTGTGTCGTATCATCCCGCAATTATTAACTTTTAATCATTATGAAACTGAAGCAATTAATATTAACCTTCATACAAGTATTAATCGCTCAACCATTGAATCATCTCGCTATTTAATTAGAAGCATTATTTTCAGTAATCATTCATAATTTGAATACTAATTATTCATAATTATTAATTAGTTTTGGTCTGTGAGATAAGTGTGATAATTGAGAGGTTTAGCTGCATTCCGCCTCACAACACAATCTGTTTAAGTTGTTAAGGTGTTTTATGGGAACTTCAAGGCTGACTTTAATCGTGTTTTAATTATGGTAAATGGTTGTAATTATTCTAATTGGTTGCTCAACTCACGTGTCACCTTCTCCACTGCATGACATTTTTTATTGAACTTATGATATATACTAAGAACATTAAACAGTATTGACAATTACAATAATAAATATCGTTTTAATACCACAAAAACCATTCTTGATGTAAATGATGACATATTCATGTTTGTTTAGATATACCGGGCCTCTTCTTTTCCCCCTAATTCTTGGTCGACTAGCTCGTTTTTGATGTTTAGCGAAAGGAATGTGATTTTTGGTGCTCATTTAGTGGTAAATATGTGAGAACATATCGAGCTGTATTTCATCGCTATACGACAAAATACGTGCATACAAGACAGCTAATGAAGTATACGAGACGCTTGACAGGTTATTTGAGAGGTTATGAATACTAGAAACTGGGATCGGGTATTTTCTATACCGTGCACTTTTCGTTTCCCCTGAGAAGCCCGGTATAGAGAGGTTTGACTGTAATATATAGGGTATATATAACATATCACTTAACAATATCCTTCTAAAACTACATGTAAAGTATTAGCATCATAAACCACATCAGTTCTTACAGCAGCATCAATATCAGTGTAAAAAGTAATCTGTTTCCCACTTAAACTTCTACCGTACAATCTGTTGACCTTTCCTTTCTCGCAAAATATCCTTCTGTTTAGACTGGCATTAGGGTTGATCTCGACATTGATATCTTCAATCTTGATATCTTCCTTCTCGACATTGATATTTTCATGGTCCGCTGAAATGTTGTTAGGTGGATTCTTATTGAAACTGATGACCCTTCCGGCGACATTGTTGTTGTCTCCGTGGCTGCTGGTACGGAGGATTGTGGTTATTATTGTGGTGTGGTTGAAATTGTTGTTGTTGCAGTTTTCAGCGCAGTTAGAGGAGTTAAATAATACTGAGTATCCCTCAGTTTTCAAAACCTCAATAACATGAACTAGATACTGTCTCTCCACCTGATTTGTCTGTAGTAGACTGCAAACATGGCGAACTGTTTTTAAATCCGGTTTATTCAGCGCAACCCAGGACATCACAACCTCAAAAATGTAAAAACTGGTTTCACAGACTCTGCAGACTTGTAGAATGTCCTCTCTGCTCAGCAACTTCCAACAAGTCAACAAATTTTGTTCATTAGGAATGAAATTGTGATCAGGTGACTCACGATTATCTAGTTCTCGGGAGATAATTTTTGTCATGTTCTGGAAACTTTTCCACTTTCCGATAAGAAGTCCCCAAACTTCTATCTTCTGGAAGAAATTGATGATGTCCTTTCTTGTGCAGCTTGAAAACGCTTCAACGAACGTGATATGATATTCATATTGTTGAAATGCATCTACAATTTCGCTAATGTTAGATTGGTCTATTAAACTTGTTACTATTTTCAAAAGCTTCTTCGCCAACTGTTTATTTGTCAACATCCTGAAAACAACCTTAATGCCTAATTTCAAATTGATGTCAGCAACAAGTTTCTCTGCTTCTACAAGATTCAAAACCTCTATGGATCTCTCCAAAGGCCAGTAATAGTCGATGTTGTTATCAAATTCACATAAGCTGGAAAATCAGCGGCTTTCCAACACACTTTAACCATGTTGATGAGATTGGTTTTAATCACAAACGTCTCCAAGAACACTAACCCTTGTTCTACTACATCAGCCACACCAAACTGGATCCCAAACTTAATAATTTCCTCAAAGTTTTCCTCGTTTAATTCTACACTGCCACCATGTAAAATAATCAAACACTCCTTAGCAAACTCGTAGTTATTCAGATAGATATCCTCCTCATTAACGACCATGTTCTTCAATACTTCACTGTGTTGGGAGATAACAGAACCGCTAACTTCTAAAGTATCTGTCTTGGTCCATATTTTGACTGTATGTCGAATATTCCTCCGTAGAAATCCCGATAAGTCCTGGTCGAAGTGTTTTATTCTTGCTGTCATAACTTCTCAGTTCCTGACGTGAAAAACATCAGTATTCAGTAAAAGTCAATAAAAGAAAATATTCAAGTCGAATTTTTTCCGGATGATATATTGTCATGCCTAATGTCCTAGCGATTGATTATTTCGAACACACAAATCACTGAGATAACACTGAATTCGTAAAACAAATGAGCAATACAAGAGAACCTGGAATTCAGACCAATGATTGTTTGTCGTTGCTATATGAATATCAAATAACGGGAATTACACAATACAACTAATAGGTCAGGTACATTCTAATTTAATTGATGTTGCTCTTGATTTCGGTATTTTTTACAATTTAGCTTCCTAAGTATTAAAATGACATAAATATCAATAATAATACCTCAGGAAGATACTCCTGCCCAAGATGAAAGGGCCGTTTAGTGAGGACATTAACGATTACTTGGACCGTATCTACAGATGCTGGTGGGCGTCATGTTTGGTGAGTTTTTACCTTAAGCGGGTCTCGTTAGACGCCATTTACTATTTTGTTACTAATTGTCAGACGTCAATTATTGACAGTCAAGAAGGCTCACAATTTGAATTCTCGTTTGCCGGGGAAAAAATATTTCGTTTACTAAAAACCGTTTGGTTGAAACTAATAAGTTAATTGGTAGTCAGTAGACCAAGAGACTAATAAGTTAATTGGTAGTCAGTAGACCTAGAGACTAACAGTCTACCTCCCCTGTCCTCAGATAAAGACTCTAAAGAAATCAGACAGGAATATCGTGAGGATAGCGATTATAGCACACTCTGCTTTCGCTGGTGAATTCAGCGTGGAGCCTGATCTAGTTGTGAGTTTGTTTATCTATTTACGGGGAAGGAGTCGAGAGGGCGCTATCTCGTTTTGTGGGGGGGGGGTAGTATTAACATGCTCACACTCTCGGTTTCAAATCAACAAAATCCACTCCCTTTAGTATTCCGGTTATTAAATAAGAATTCCCTGAATTCCTCCCATGATGAAATCAAATATTGAATCCCGTTAAATAAAAGATATGACTTCAGAAATCAGGGAAGCCTATGAATATACACTGTCTGAGAATGAGATCAAACTACGTAGCATCAGACCAGTTTGACGCTGCAACTCTCCTCTCCACAACTAACGACAGATCAACCCATGGTAAAAAGATCCTCTTCACTGCTCCTATCAACCGACTAAACAGAAAACATGTTGTAGAAAGGTTAGATAATCTGATGAGCTTGTCTTATCTGAAACGTCTCGAATCTCGATTCGAAGATTAATAAAAAATTGTGAATTATGTGCTTTTTTATTCTAACAAAAATCACGATACTTTGGAATTACATTACTATTGGAATTTTGAATCATTAATAATTGTTCAATAATTTTCAATCCTCAGAGGATACGTGATCCTTACAGACAAGGCCTTGATATTCCTGACTAGCAAGTTCGAGTTGTATCCACAGAAGACTATATTCCTGAAGAACTGTAGAGCGCTGAGTCTCAGTACTCACGTGGACACTATGATAGTTATACACCAGGCCGAGGTTTGTCTTTATCAGTAGGTTTAGTAAACTTTATACACCAGACCGAGGTTTGTCTTTATCAGTAGGTTTAGTAAACTTTATACACCAGGCCGAGGTTTGTCTTTATCAGTAAGTTTAGTAAACTTTATACACCAGGCCGAGGTTTGTCTTTATCAGTAGGTTTAGTAAACTTTATACACCAGGCCGGGGTTTGTCTTTATCAGTAGGTTTAGTAAACTTTATACACCAGGCCGAGGTTAGTCTTTATCAGTAGGTTTAGTAAACTTTATACATCAGGCCGAGGTTTGTCTTTATCAGTAGGTTTAGTAAACTTTATACACCAGGCCGAGGTTTGTCTTTATCAGTAGGTTTAGTAAACTTTATACACCAGGCCGAGGTTTGTCTTTATCAGTAGGTTTAGTAAAATTTATACACCAGGCCGAGGTTTGTCTTTATCAGTTGGTTTAGTAAACTTTATACACCAGGCCGAGGTTTGTCTTTATCAGTAGGTTTAGTAAACTTTATACACCAGGCCGAGGTTTGTCTTTATCAGTAGGTTTAGCAAACTTAATACACCAGGCCGAGGTTTGTCTTTATCAGTAGGTTTAGTAAACTTTATACACCAGGCCGAGGTTTGTCTTTATCAGTAGGTTTAGTAAACTTTATACACCAGGCCGAGGTTAGTCTTTATCAGTAGGTTTAGTAAACTTTATACATCAGGCCGAGGTTTGTCTTTATCAGTAGGTTTAGTAAACTTTATACACCAGGCCGAGGTTTGTCTTTATCAGTAGGTTTAGTAAACTTTATACACCAGGCCGAGGTTTGTCTTTATCAGTAGGTTTAGTAAACTTTATACACCAGGCCGAGGTTTGTCTTTATCAGTAGGTTTAGTAAACTTTATACACCAGGCCGAGGTTTGTCTTTACTCTTTATCAGTAGGTTTAGTAAAAATGTATACACCAGGCCGAGGTTTGTCTTTATCAGTTGGTTTAGTAAACTTTATACACCAGGCCGAGGTTTGTCTTTATCAGTAGGTTTAGTAAACTTTATACACCAGGCCGAAGTTTGTCTTTATCAGTAGGTTTAGTAAACTTTATACACCAGGCCGAGGTTTGTCTTTATCAGTAGGTTTAGTAAACTTTATACACCAGGCCGAGGTTTGTCTTTATCAGTAAGTTTAGTAAACTTTATACACCAGGCCGAGGTTTGTCTTTATCAGTAGGTTTAGTAAACTTTATACACCAGGCCGAGGTTTGTCTTTATCAGTAGGTTTAGTAAACTTTATTGAATCTTTATTAATATATACAGGGTGGGCCAAAAGTCAGTGGGCATACGTTGGCCTTAATAGCTTCTTCACTGATTGCCCACTGGTTCGAGGAAATTGTCAAATCGAAATATATTCGAGATCATTTTTTTTCAAATGAAATTTCATTTTTGCATTTATTTGATAGTTTGGATAGTCGGATCGAACTTAATTTTATTGAATTGTCAGATCATATGCAACATTTAATACTCTACCGTCTCTGAAAAAATTAGGCGTTCAGCATGTTCAGAGAAAACAGTATAGGTGTTTTAATATTGTTTTAATATTGAATGGGCGTGGTCTAAAATATTCGAATTTTCAAATTTTGACGACGGAATCCTCGAACCAGTAAGTACAGTATGCCATCTGCAAAGCAACAGCTCTCAAATATGAAACATGGTGGAGCTATTAAGGCCAACGTATGCCCACTGACTTTTGGCCCACCCTGTATTACATGGTCCAGCTTTGAATACCATTACATCCAGTATTTTATACATGTATTGTATAGCATGATCGACATTACTAAAAACTCATGCCTCTAATAATAGTAAATCTAAAAACTAACGAGAGCTACAACTCCTCTATTTAACTAATCTATAATATAACTGTTTTCCAGGCGGGTAAAGACATGGTGCTAGATTTCGGAGTGACAGGAATCTATCACACCCTACCAGAGTTTGTCGGTAATCTCTACCTCGCCTCTAAGAAGCTGAGTAACAGGATAAAGGTGAATGTGTACGCGGAACGTATCAGATATAACAACTCAAGAAAACCTGATGTTTACGATGAACTAAGTTTCAGGTGTGTTTTAAACTGCTTACGTTGTATTGGCAGACTCTTGCCTTTCACTTTAACAAATACTTGATTGTGTATAAGATGGGATTGGAGCCTTTTTTATAGGAGTATCAATTTTGTTGCTGTCATTTTGACTTTAAAGTTATAATGCGATGTTATGTGTCATGTAGACTAAATACACACGAGCAGTGCATGCAATTATTTATGACTAGATAGCAAAAGACAGCGAATGATTTCATTGAACTCTGCGTATATTCTACCCGATTTTTTAAGTCACTTAATTTTTACTCACACAACAAACTTCAGTGCTAAGAAGGAGAAGAGTACGAAGTTGAAGCCAGGGGCTCCTCTTTGTACACTCAAGAACAAGGTCGTCATTTTCTACGGGGGTCGAGACGTCCTGCACTAACATTAGCTTCAATAACAGTGCCACTTAATTGATGTCTAATTGGTCGATAATTGACTGTCTTTCTAGATCAGTTAGAAGTCGTTACAGTGCGAATTTTAGATGGTTGCATGACGATACAATATATTTTATTATCTTTAATATTGTTACCTACATGATGCCCAGGGCTGTGCCTTTATCAGAATTTTATTTTTAATACAGTCCAAAATGTACAGTGTATTCAAACAAACTGTTAGAATATTGATTTAACATTTGAAGTTTTAATCTGTAAAAGAGTGAGGTTGGAAGATGTATAATTTATGATATAGAAACTTGTATAATTCTGCTTCGTTAGCGGAGTATCCCATTGTTCTAATCCTATAATATAAACATATTAGGGGCAATAAATTACGTCCACCGATTTGGTCGATTTTGAAGCCTCTCTCCTCCCCTCGCCCCCTCCCCCCTCCCTCGAAATTTAGTGTTATGCTGATCAATTATTTTCTTATATTAAACAATTTATATGATTTATTGATATTGAAATTTTTAAGGAAATTCTAAATAGAGGACGAATATGATAATTAACATACAACTTTATTAAAACCTACTTTGATCTACAGTTTTTATTGATTTACTTTCAACGCCAATTTATTTCATTCTTTAGAATAAGTAGTTTTTATCCAATTCAAATTATTGATAAGAGTCTTGTTTGATATTTTTTTCGTCGACTTTAATGTGGCCTAAAATCTATTTAGTAATGAGTTTTTAAGATACAGTTCAGTTATTTAGATTCTAGACAATCATGCTTGCGGATAACATTACAATTTATTTTATGTACCAAGATATCGCCTTTTATTTTATTGCTAATATCTTTCTATGTTTTGTTTACTGGGTGGCGCTCAGCCTGTCATTCTGCCATATCTTATGAACATATTAAGCCTGGTGTCCCAAGTAAAATTTAGATTTAATAAATTTATAAGAAAATGGTAAATTTTTGAACAGTGTCGCCCATATTTAATTTAACCCGGCATTGGGCATGCACTATGAGTGAGTTATGCCCAATTTAAGGTTAAGACTGGATCTGGAGGAACCATTTTAGGGCCTACGAAATAGTTTCCAGTTTCCATCGGTATTTATCGTCGAGCTGAACATCCTGCACCCTTTAAACAAGGAACATCCAACATCATCGACTTGCTTGAATCTCAAAAATGACGACCTGGAGCTGAGACCAGTCTCGCAGCTAGGTCCTAATCCGACGTATTATAGCTCTTCTATTCAGCTTTAACGGCCGATGTAAATCCATACTCGTCTAAATTTCTTCGAAGTAACGCGCGCCGCTATTTACTTGAAATATTAGCCAGATAAGAGGCAAGTCCATGCGCACGTCGGGTAAGCAGTAAGTACCCATGCATTGCATTATCAATGGACAATGAATGGACTAACCCGACGCGGGACACTTAAGCTTTGTAGCACCTGCGTCCTGCCTCAAGTTCAAGAAGAAATTAGAAAGTGCAATTAGTAACGCAAGTCATTGTCGCTTTTATGCTTGCTTCGCTTTGAGAAAATTTTGAAGATTAAAGGCCAGGTTGCACATGCAGGCGCCCATGGCTTAGTGGCGATAACGCTAGGCACTGCGCCGTCGCCCGTCAATCACCTAAGATTTTTACAATTTACATTGCATGTCGCATGATTGCATTTTACAATATACGATACTAAATTTGTAATACTTTTTAAAATTATCAGTGAATTTTGTAATGCTTTTAAATGGCCATGTCCGTATTTACTGGGCCGCGCTCAGCCTGTCATTCCGCCAAATCTCTATGAACATAATAGCCTGAGGTCCCCAGGTAATGGCCGTATAAAAAGCTAATTTGTTTATATTTGAACTTAAATATAACAAAATTTGAAATTGTTGGATATGTAATAAAAATCTTAATCGAGGCCATGCAACAGGCCAGGAATAAAAAAGCTTTTATGATATGCATGTGCATTGTAAATGTTTAAATAAGTGTAGTTGTTAAATTTTTATCATACGTCGTTGCATGACCCGCCGCGCACGAGTGCGCGGCCCCCTGTATCGTTAAAACTTTAAAGTAGTGAAACGACACTGGGGGTCACGATCCGTGATACAAGTTAAATTGACATACGTTGCATGCCACTTTTCGCGCGCGAAGCCGAAGGTGGAATATTATTTTTGATATTGGGATACGAAACATGTATCAAAGTTAAATTTGGACGCAGTTTTGAGTTTAACATTTAAGTCTCCCGCAAAAGCACTTTTCCCCCAAATTCCGCGCATTGTAGTAATATTTGATTTATAACGGATGATACTCGTATTGCTCTAACCAGAGCCCTCTCGCTTGCAGTAGCGCGCGACCGCGGTACGCAGTACGCGTACTGCCGTTCCCTGAGAAAACGCATTAAGTCCATTTTTTCGAAATTTTGAGATATTGGTACCAAAATTTTCAGGAGAAGATTCTCTACAACTTAAGCTATGAATCAAGTTATCAAAATACTGTTTTAGCTGCCGCGAAAGGCATTAAGTCACACAAAACGTGAATATTTAGCTCGTTATTCCAAAACCTTCCCTGAGAAAAGGCATTAAGTCCATTTGTAATGCCTTCTCTGAGGGAACTTTTTCTGTTCCTTGAGATTCCCTGAGAAAAGGCATTAAGTCCAGACTTTATTTGCAGTTTTTATAGTTTTTGGCCTATAACTTCCACAGTTTTAGTTATATCGAAACAATTTTTATGTGGTCGTAATCAGCTCAGCAAGCAAACAATTTTGGTACTAATATTTCAAAATTTAAAGAAATATTATTTTCAAAATTTTTGAACCTGAACACAAGGGTCCCCCCTTGTGTGAATTATTGAAACATTTTTTGAAAAATTTGGTGCTTTAAATATTGTATGTTTAAATATTTTTACCCAAATTAATGCGTCTGACCGAGCTGAATACGATGCTGTAAAAATTATTCCAAAATATTTGATGTTTAAGAAGTTATAGGCATTTTGAGCGAAAAATTATCCATTTTTCATCAATATTACTTACTTGCAATGCACAGGAGGCCCACATAATTATATTGCAAAGATATGATCAAAAATATAGAAATGTTGTATTTTCTGTGTTGACTTTATCTGAAAAAAAATGGACTTACTGCCTTTCTAGAGAGGAATCGGTTGAAATCGATCCTGATAAAAGGCATTAAGTCCGCAATTCCCTCAGAAAAGGCATTAAGTCCAATGCGGATGGGAAAATAGTTCAGTTATTCTGGAGGAAAATGGTTTTTGTAGATCAGTGTTGGTGAATTTATGCATTTAAGCATGTTTAGGACATATGACAATAATTTATTTACAAATAGATGTCAAAATTAACCCCGTTTATGCGAATAAAATTACTTAAAAAACGACGAACACGTTTGTCCCATTTTCTCAAAATGACATCGATGTGACTTAATGCGTTTTCTCAGGGAACGGCAGCGTAGGCACATGGCTATGTGAAATACTCGTAAAATATTTGTTTCGACGCCGCGCAACGAGTCCAACTCGGCGCGCGTCCTGGTAGGTTATAAACCTACAATATTTGATTTGATTCACACAAATCACGATGTCAATCCTTCGCAGCTCGGTGAGGCCCAATGGTGCATTTCGCCGATCTGTAGTTGCGAGAAGAATTATTTGATGCGGTGTCAAGGCCCTTCCAAGGTGTGTACTGCATTGTAAAGCAAAGCGACGACCTTCGATGAAAAGCAAATCAAATCAAATCAAATCAAAATATAATGACACAAACATCATCACACATCATCAAAAATATATCTACTAAAGTTTAAAAATTATCTTAAATCTATTGGCCTAGACAACCAAGTTAAAATGAATCTAATTTACATACTTTCCACTACTATATAAGTTGATAAAGCGTTTTTTAGCAACATGAGGATTACACACAAGATATTCATTGTGCTTCTCTTTATTAGTAGCATAATTTAATCCCTCAATCTTTCCTAATACTTCATCCGAAACATACCAAAAATGACTATCATTTACAGATCCGTTTAAAATAGTCTCTTTTTTGAAAGCCTCTAATCTTATATTAAAACTTAACACAGTCCCACAATTCTTGACATCCGAGGGGAGTTTGTTCCAATATGGTCTCACCCTCTCCGGAAGAAAAGAACTGTGGACTTTCTTCATTTTACTGCTACTTTTACTGCATCTACTGTTTGATACCACATTAAGACCAGATCTGCTCATACTGAACAAACCAGCTCCGTAATTGGCCAAACCACTTATCATTTTAAAAGATTCAATGAGGTCCTCACGTATTCGCCGCTCTGCCAGCGTTGTTAAATTGAGGATTTCCAGTCGACGACTGTATGGAAAAGTACCCACTTCGTCAATCAGACGGGTAAACCGCCTTTGGACGCTCTCCAGCTCCAAGATGATCCCCCAACTTCCATGAGCCGCAAATGGACTCCACAATTGAACACAATACTCTAAATGGGGTCTTATCAAAGCTTTGTAAATGGATATCATCACAGATTTTTCCCTGATAATCAGATTTCTAACAATCCAACATATCATTCTGTTGGCTTTAGATATTGAAGCCTTAATCTGTTCATTCCAAAGCAGAGAGTTATGGGTTATAACTCCCAAGTCTTTTTCCTGTACAGATTCTGCCAATGTAACTCCATTAAGAGAATAACTTGATCTTGGGTTATCGTTAACATCTAAATGCATTACTGAACACTTAGTAGGATTAAACTTTAAAAGCCATTTACTCTCCCACATCTCTAGTTCGTTCAGATCATTAACTAGTTTCATGCTCGGAGGCATTAGCTATAACATTAAGATCAAAGCAAAAATAATAATGCGGCTTGTCGCGAAGTGGCGAAGTCTTCCAAAAGTATTATATGACTTTTTGAAACTTCATGTTTCACAGCTAACCATGTGCTTTTCAAAACTACGGGCCGCAGTGGCGTAACTTAGGGCCCCGCAGACCCCGCTGTGCGGGGGGGGGGGGGGGGGGGGGGGGGGGGGGGGGGGGGGGGGGGGGGGGGGGGGGGGGGGGGCGCCGTATAAGGGGGGCGCAATTTTCCTGAATTTTAGGCCCTTTCACTGAAAAAACGCCTTGTTTGTGTATTTCCCTGTCCAATTTAGCGTTCGGTCGACACGAAAAAAATATTTGGGGTACCCTTTTTTGCTTCAGGGGGCGCAAAAAGCTCTAGGGGGGCGAGAAAAAAAGTACCCGACCTTTTTTTTTTTTTTTTAAATTTTTTTAGGGACACAAAAAATTTTAGGGGGGCGCTTTTCGTCACTGAGCGGGGGGGCGCCAACAAGCAAAGTTTCGCCACTGACGGGCCAGTGCGCTTGTTTCAAAAATAAACTTTTTACTGCCTGGAGGCAGCCGGGCGCGCGCCACCGCAACACGCAAGTGCAAGGGCTCTGGATAGAATAAACTTCATGATACAAATTGAAATAAAATATTTTGCAATGTATTTAAAATCAATATATGCATTGTCATAAATCACTTGGAATACTTTTGAAAGAGAATGACAACTGACAAGCTTAAAATCCAACGTTACACCATTAGACTGCCATCAATTTGCAACTTTCGAATTTCTTCAAGAGATCACTGCATTCATACTATGCCAAGTCAATTATACCAGTCTATTGACTTCTCTCTGTCATGCAAAGGAAGGACAGCTAGTAGCGACAGTCCACTTTTTAAAACACTGTTGGCCATGTTCTAATACGAACATAAATTGGTCACAGGTCCAAGACTTAGGTCTAAATGCTTTCATCTTGGTCAAAAGTATCAACATCATGGCTTTTCTAAGTTGATGCAAGATTGAAACAATAAGCACTTAATATCACAATGACCCCATTATATATGATGAAAATCTTTTTAAAAATAACTGGCTACAATGAGCATTTTCATAACAATAAATAGTAGAGATCGAAAACTTAAATTTCCAACAGAAAATTTTTAGAAACACACCTAACAATAACCCTATATAAAATCAGACCTTTAAAAATTCAGTATAATCCCCATCTAAAATATTGGCAGAAACACCTGAACCATTGGCCTTGTGGCTCCGAGTTCAAATCTAGACTCTAGCTCTCTATATCCACAAAGTTTTTTCTCGCAATTCTGTTCTCCCCCCCCCCCCCCGGAGAGAAATCACTGTTTCTAAAGATTGCCTTTTTCATTGCTGTACTTGCAATGCAATCTTACAAATAATACTTTTAAAATAATTTTCATTGGCAACAAGATGTTTATAAACAACAATTTTTAATGAGTTATTCAAATAACCATTCAACAGACTTTCTATACTAGTCCCATGTGTTTTTAATTTTCGTTACTTTATGGGTTAACTAACATTATATTTCTATTGTTGATGTTCTCACAAGACAAGAGATCAATTCACCGCAATGAGACAAACCGTAATAAACCTCAACCTTTCCACATTCATCATATACCAGGACTATCTGAAGCACAAGCTTTTTGTTCAGTTGATGATGATCCAAAGTAATTATAATACATTTTTTTTGATCTGTTCACTCCTCCATAATATTTCTTTAATACTATGATTATCTTCCTCCAAGATTTAGCTTATAATTACTAGAATAATTAGTTTTCATATAGGCTATAATATGCAATGCTTTTAAATTGAACAGACTATTACAGTTGTAGTAAAACTCTGATCTACCCTTACTTTGAGGGAAAGAATGATCTTGCTTTTGCTTCTAATAATTGCTTTTTCTTTGCAGATCACACCACATAAGTATTGGAGGGGACCCATTTTGTCGTCATACACCACAAACGAAATATGTCACATTAATGAAAGGGCTGAATGATGTCCCAGTTTGCACAGTTTTAAAAGAGTCGTCAGATGATAACACTATTATTGATCACAGGTATACCTTACTTAATTGAAGTTGATTAGACATTTTGAATCTCCAAAATGAATTTTCTAATTACCTTATTCATAGTACCTATCAACTGTTATAGCTACAGAATGATATTATTCAATCTCTAACTGTGCCTTTTCCCTTGACTGTGTCCTCTCTGTGCGCCAACGGTGTTCCAACCATGTTCCTACCAATACCATGCATTGACAAACTGTCAAATTACCCAGCGATTTCAAAAGGGAGTCTCAAAACTTACAAGTTCGACCCACCAGCTAACCAGCTAGCAAATATTTCATTCTCTTACATTTTCTTGGTGCTATTGAAGTAATTGCCATGATGTTACGATCTTATGATATCATCATGCTTATTTTTAAAGGTGTAGTGTGTGAGATTGAATTGCTCAAAATACGATCCATGCAAAGAATATTAATTGTCGAGCTGTTTTAGCATCATTTCATCTAGCCCTGCATTACATGAAAGCTTTGTAAGTGCTTTTTTAGAAACCAACCAATTGCAGGACTTGAAAAAGGATTCATAAAGATTAATAAATGATATTGTATTGTGATTACTAATTGTTCTTCCTCAGCTCATAGTCATTGACTATTAATATACACTATTAATACAGTTATTATTTTTCATGGCGTTACATTTCAGCCATGAAAAAATTACAATGACATATTTTGATATACTAATTGATAAATGGTACTGCAATATAAGTTGCTTAATGTTTGGCCGGATGACAACTAACTAAAAATAAAAATAAACTTGAGTACATAATAATTAATTCGGCTGAACCAACACATAGCAAGAACCACATTAATGTTAGGGCCGTGAAACAGATTTAATTTTGATAGATCATGATGATGTCTTTTTTCCACTGCAATAAGTGCTGTAACTTTAGCGTGTTGCTTTAACAAATGCTTCAAAGCAATGTCATGAAGTGAGATCAGGATGTCAAGGTTACAGACTCCCGAAGCCTCTGATCCGTTCTTCCGTGTACGGAGTGAGCTCCGTAAAGTAGACCCAGCTGCCAGACTTCGGTACAGCAACCAGTTCGCTAAAGATGCTCATCAGAGGTTGGGAACAAAGCATTCTCAGATTCTCACTTCACCAGTTTCATCTTCAGTTCACTAAAATACCACCAGTTTCACTTGTGTCACTTTACTAGTAATCAGTGTGCGGATATTATTCTCAACATGTGGATTGTATTAAAGTATGATCATTATTCATTCGTCACAATTCACATGCTGATAAACTGATTAAAGATCAGTTCATGTCTAATTTCTTATCGATTTGTCTCCTTCAACCACATGAATGCATGACATAAAACACTTGGTATCATTCTTTAAGTCCTATAATGGGATACGCCGCCTCCCTTGTTTTTTACTTGCATGCTGTAGATTAAAGCTTTTCTTATTGTACCTTGCAAATCTTTTGTAATAAAAGTTAACATATATTCTGACTTCTGAGCTTGCAGAACAATAACAACAAGTCAATGCTTCATGGTGATATATTGTTATTCATGAATTGCTATTTAGTTTTGAACACAATTCAGCAGCATGCTGGCTCAAAAAGGAAGTAAACAGCTGATTTGACATGAGGTTTTAAAAACTTTTTTTTTCAACCACAAAGAATTGAAAGCTGAATTGTTTATTGCATTTGCGAACAAGCTGAGGTTGCCACTGCTACCTGTTGTCCTGTTGTCTGAGCCACTATTTCATCTTACACTTCCATTATCTTTCGCTGTTTGTTCTGGTTAACTGGTTGGAGTGTTTGTCATGGCTAATATACTACGACTAAAACGGTGAATGCTTTTATAATAATTCATCAGCTAACTTTATTAGCTAACCAAATGTTGTTTTGTTATTCAATTTGGTTAAAATTGGTACATCATCACCACCACAAGTATCTTGTCATGTACTCAATGTCACGCTCTATTGATATTTACTATATTTATTCATTTATTCGATGTCACGCTCTACTAATATTTACTAAATACGAATGATCTGGTTGACTTGGCAAACTAACGGTGGTACAGGGCCCTATACGTTCCCAGGTCTCACTCCTGTCCGGACGGTATACGTGTAGACGACCTAGGAGATTTCAAACTTGAGCTGGTCCGACGACACAACCCCCATGCTCGCCGTGTATGTCATATCAAGGGACTGAATGATGTGCCAGTGTGCGTTGTTAGAGATGAACTCAACGCTGAGTGGGAAAACAGGTCAGAGTAAATTCAAATCCTTTCTACGTGCACGTGTGCGTTGCGCAACCTTTTAATTTTTATCCAATTTGCACGTGGACGGTCTGACAGAAAAGAGAAATCTTCGAATTGTAAGTTTCGCGGTGAGTGTTTACACACTGTATCCGTTGCTTTAAATTACAATTCTAGCAATAAAATCCTCAGGTTTATTGTGTCCCCTGGATCACTCGCACCAGCATTCTCAAAACCGAAGAAGAAGCCATTCGACAAAAACAATGACTATGGATATCTGACAGGTAATATAAACATCGGTCAAATAACTTAGCATAAACTTACACATTACACCTTAACTTGTGTAATGTGTAATGTGTAATTTGTAATGTGTAATGTGTAATGTGTAATGTGTAATGTGTAATGTGTAATGTGTAATGTGTAATGTGCAATGTGCAATGTGCAATTTACAGTTTTCATTGTTTTCTTGACCATTCCAATACCAACAAGGCACTCATCCCTCACTCACAGAAAATCACAGCACCGACTTTAAGGAGCACAATACTCCCCGCCCTGTAACGATATGCGAGGTGTACGAGTTGTCGGATCTGGTAAAGACATCAGTGCTAGATATTATGAAGTCAGTACGAAGTGGTAAACCTGATCTTGACAGCTCTACAGACCCAACCAGACCCAAATCTGCTCCTTTATCAACAGCAAAGATCACTCCATTCGATAAATGTTTGTTTACTGTACTGTTACAGGATTGCTCAGAATCAATGTCAAAACTTCCACTCTACTGTAGCATTTCTCTAACGCTTACGTATGTTCCAATTGTAAAGCTGTAAATGTCGAAGTATGATGATTCTGGGTCATCCTGTATCATTATAGGGTTTGTCTTATCATTTAGGTTTAACATCACATTTTCTTATGTTACACTAAAAAATGTATTATGATTTGACGGCCGAATCTCGCAGGGACAAAAGGATTTCGCGATTATTTTGGACAAAAATCGCGATACCGCGAATTTTAACAGACTATACATTAAACTATACATAAAATTTGTCGCAAATAATGGGAAAAATCGCGATTCCGTACATGCCGCGATTTCTTTTTGTCCCTGGAATCTCGTGTTCGTTTTAATTCAAGAATTACAGTATTTTACAAATACTCGTTGTATCACTACACATACCATTCTATATTTGACCGGCTTGGGTCTTATTTAAAAACCCAAGTGGGACTACTGACTAGCTTTAAACCAGGCTAGCTACAAACCATTCAAAAACCTAAAAACCTAAAGTCTTGAAAGGACTTGACCGATTCTAAACTATTTCAAATTTAGGAAATTCACGTTTATTTCCGCACAGATCGTTCAAGGACGTCATCGAGAGTGAGTGTGCCTAAAATGTCACTCATACCGGGGGAGAATGGTTATGAGAACGATCTGAACGACGAACTGGATAGTATTCAGGTGAACTTCATTATATTTATATTTTTAGTCATATTCGTTTGTTTTCCGTTCATAATTATTCCTGTTATAGTCTGTCGTTCTTCTGTTCTTACTATTCGGGTGTCAAGTCAAAGATCAATTCTGTCCTCAAAATATCGCATTTTCGAGGAAATATTGCGTATTTCACTGTTTAAAAAACTGAACTGTTTGTACTATAAACATTCTAATAACATCAGCTCCAATTTCTAAATTTATCTCCTGGTTATTTTAAAATCCCCCGTCACTGAACTGCTACTCTATAATCTCTAATCGGTTTTGTAGCTAAACTGAGAACATGTTATCCGTCACCTCCTCTATTATAATTACAGATCTTTGTCACATTTAATACATTCTCCAAATTAAGTAATGACATTAAATCTCAAGTTAAAATATGATCTTGAATATTATGATGCTGGCACAATATTGGGCATATGTTTATGTTTAACAAGATGGTTGCCATGGCAACACCTTGGTGACTCCTAAATATGCAGAACAGTAATCCAACCCGTTTCTCTTTATCAACCTCCTGGATTACATTCGTTTAAAGCAGGTAGAGTGGCGTGAAATTGAAGTATCTGAGAAAAGTCTTATCAATATTTCATCAGATTAAACATTTTAATCCGCCAAACATCTAGTTAGTACTCTTAATAATAACTCAATAATTACTGAACCCTATCAATAATATGACTAATTAGAAAGTATGAGTAGTTGTACTGCTGTCCCCTGACAAATGTGTAGGGCTCACTGCATTTTCATGTATCATGTTTCGTCTCTTGAAATGAAGTAAAATCGATCTGGAGGCTGTTGTCTGGGGAAATTTCAATGGAGTTTGACAAATTTTAAATACGAACAACATTAATTGTATTATTTAGAACTGGTAGTCAAAGGGGTCATAATACCTAGTACCTGCGTCCTACAGACTACAGTTTGACGTCTTGTGAGTAAGATAATGTAGGACACTAGTGCAAATGTAGTGTAGGACACGAGAGTAGGACAGTGCCTACAATCTACAGTATGACTGGGATAGTACCTACAGTATGATTAGGACAGTGCCTACAGTATAAGTATGACTCGGATAGTGCCTACAGTATGATTAGGACAGTGCCTACAGTATAAATATGGCTAGGATAGTGACTAGAGTTTGACGACAAATCTGAATGTAACCAGCTGCAGAATTATAAATAGTTTGAAATATTATTGTACCGACCTTACAAGAAATTGTAAATCAATGTGTCGGGCTCGCTCTTGTTGAACTCGATGTAATGAAAGTAGTGATACAGTGAGAGATAACTGCTGGTATTAGCAGGTTTACGGAACCGTCCCCTTCTGCTCAGTTCTGGAACATTCTGTCCCCCGCCGCGCTTCTCAAATTTAATGGACTCTTCTGTATACTAATTTGTAGAACATGTTATACTTTACTGTTACTGTAATATGCTACCATGGTTCCCGAATCCCGATTGAGTGCTCTAACTCGTAAATTTGTCAATGAGATTAGTGATGACCCTGATTGTATTTAATGCTGTCCCTGGTGTACTCAATATTCATGGTATTTTTTCATTGGCTTTTGTGAAATCAAAATCGCTCTGATCTTAAGTAATAATCTCAGAATGTGTGTCTGTCTGTCTGTTTGTTTGTGCGCGTGTAATTTCCGAGCCAGTATATCAAGAAAACGGTAAGAGTTACGGGACTGGTTTGTTTTTCGGTACTATAGTTTCGACAAAACTCTGACGAAGTCAATAAGCAAATTATTTTAAAATCGGCCGGTGGTAAGTGGATTAATTGATGGTTTTGTAACATGAATGTGACATAAAATGCCTCTCTTTTTCTCCCTCCTCGCTCTCTCAAAAAATAAGTATTTGTGGTACTGGATTTCTGTTAAATTGAGCATTCAACTTTCAAGAATTCAAGTAATAAACTCTGATCCATGTCCAATACTTTCGAACTACTGCAGCCTAACCTACACTAGAAGGAGTGCTCTAACATAAAATGGTCCTGGACAAATCACAAAACAGCATGGCTGTGAGTGTGTCATTATTAGCCCTAACAAGACCTTCCCAGTACTACTTGCTCCTATTTATAGGTACCTTCATTTAATTAATCCTGCTAACTTGGTGTAGCAGGATTTGTGAAGTACAATCTAATTCTGAGGAATGTCATTGAGATGCCGACTACAATATAGCCTCTCAAATAGTACTCATTATCAGAATTATCTTGTAGTACCAGAAAGAATTGCTCTTTCAGTGATGCCCTACCAATAGCAACTATGCTAAAATCTTTGCTTGAGTTTCCAAAAACCTTAATTCATCACGGGGTTAGTTGAACATTTTAAGTTGCCTTTTGATTAAAATTGTAATGCTCTAGAATATTACCTTCCATTTCCCGAAGCGTAATACCACGAAAATTTGTCATGTTTGTCTTACAGGTCTGAACTGAATTTTTTCCCATCTTTTGTTTAGTAGTTTTTATATTACGCGATCAAGCAAATTATGACACAATAAAAACACCCTATATAATAGTATATAGTAGTATTTATCGTATCAATTCAGATGTATGGTCACAACAAAGCAGGAATGTGAAAGGAGATCTGAAATTCAGGTAATTAGATAACAAAAACATAGTCCTTTTTCTTTGAATTTGAAATTTTTTCAACTAATTAATTAGATCAGTAATCAGTTCAATGGTTCGGGAACCGATCTTGGAAAAGTTAAGTTTAGTTGGATACAAGAAAAATATTCTCTGTTAAGAAAGTTCGAATCGAACCAGGTAATTCCTACTGTCGCCTAAACATTTAAAAAACAGTAGAAAACCATACAGAGCTTTTTAATAGAGCACTTATTCCGCACTAAATTGAATATTGGCTGGTTACTGGCTAGTGACAAAGTTAACAAAGATGTGAAGCTGAATTAATCTGTCTTATTTTCGGATATTTTTCCTGGTTAATCTCTCTAAGATTTAAATATTTCCGCCAAAACAAAACAGTAAACCATTGACCATTTCTTAGTCTGGTGACAGGAGCTTAATTAAAAATTGATCTTTTCACTTTTTGTATTTTGCCGCAGGATCCTTGGCATTATCTCCAGAAGATGGATGATCAGAAGAGGTTATTTAAAGCAGTGAAGAATGATGATCTGAACACAGTAAAGAGTCTCTGCTCGGATGATAAGTTGGTAGGAAAGGGAGAAACTGAAAAACCTATTTTGGTAGATCCATTGGCACTCAACAACTCTGATGAAAGAGTATCTTGCTGTCCTGCATTGTCAAAGATTTTTATAGAAAAGGGAGGAACTGTTGATCTTAATGAGATAGATGAGGAATATGGCTACACTCCTTTAGGTGCAGCTGTAATGTTCGGATATATTGACATTGTGACTTACCTCTGTCAGCTTCCCTCAGTTGATGTCAATGCAGTGGACAAGAACGGATCGACACCACTTTGTGTAGCAGCCAGAGAAGGACACATGACAATAACCAAACATCTGTGCGGTATCGAAGGAGTGGAGGTAAATAAGACGGATAACTGGGGTGACTCACCCCTCATTATAGCAGCATTGCTTGGCCAAATAACAACATTAAAAGTTCTAGCGTCTACTAAGGGTATTGACTTAAACTTTGTGAACAAACAAGAAGGGACCGCACTTTGCACCGCGGCAAGAAATGGCAATCAGAACGTCGTACAATATCTCTGCCAACTAGAAGATGTTGATGTTAATCTTGCTGGAGCAAACGGTAACACCCCTCTTCTCCTTGCAACTTGGTATGCACGATACAGGACGCTGGACTGTTTAGTTCATGAAAAACGTGTCGACGTCAATTACAGATGTAGTCTTGATGGTGATACTGCACTCCATTATGCAGCTAGACGAGGTAAGGTAAAAACTACAGAGATTCTTCTACAACGTGAAAATATAGATCCACAGATACGTAATAGTAGAGGGCAGACCCCATTAGATATTGCTGCTCAAAACGTCGATCGCTTTTCGATCGCATTGATGTTAGCATGCATCATACCAAACGTCAACGTCAATAAACAGTACCAAGATGGTAACACGCTTCTTCACATGGCAGTAGTCACTGAAAACGAAAAAGCAAAGTCATATCTATGTAGTATCGCTGAAGCAAGGAATGTCAAAGACAAGACAGGAAAAACTCCATTTGATTTAGCCGCTGAATCGAAGACATGTCCCCTCTCATTTTTGCTTTGCCTTTACAAACTTCAAGGTGCGGAAGAAGTTGATATCAATTGTAGATATCGGGAAAACAAGACATTGCTTCACATTGCTGTGGAGGAGCGAAACAGGTCTTCTTTAGAAAGTATCTACTCGACAAACGGTGTTGAACTTAACGCAACAGATATTAATGGCAATACAGCTCTCCACTATGCGGCTCTAGATAAAAACCATCCATTTTTCGAGCTCATAGTTAACAAAAAAGGAGTTGATCTCACGAAGGAGAACAATGAGGGTTTGACACCGCTAGATATATTGTCCCAAGACGAAGAGAATTTCCCATTAATCCTTGAATCAGCAATGAGGGTCCAAGCTTATAATAATATCATGATTGCCAATAAAAGATTCCACAATGGAAACACTCTTTTACACATGGCAGTGCACTGTGAAAACCAGACGGCAATGAGTGATCTGGCCAAATTAGGAGGAGCTGAAGGTATTGAAAACGACCAAGGTTACACTCCATTTGATTTAGCTGCTATGAGCAAAAACAACGAATTGTTAATGTATTTTTATGAGCAAGCAGAGGCCGACTATTGGATGGAAAATAAGCCCCATTTACCTTCTCTTGAAATCTTATCGGCAGAGGAGAAAAACTATCATATTGTTCTTAAATTGGCACATAAGTTTCCTACAATTAATGTCAACAGCAAGTTTACCAATGGCAATACGCTTCTCCATATGGCAGTCATCAGCAAAAACGACGAAGAGGTCAAGTATCTTTGTAATCTACAAGGTACCAAAAATATCCAGAAC